CTAGTGACTCATTTGAGTCTCTTTTATTACTCTACTTTTTAAGGGAAAGACAAATCTGAGACTAAATTAAATACTCAAAAGTTTCCTGAGCAATGAAAGTGTGTGTAAAAGAGTACAAACACAGTGTTTTTGTCAGTAAAGCGAGCAGACAGACAGACGTGCACAAACACACACTGACCTTCAGAATGAAGCTGATAAACTCTTCTGTCTGTCTCTTTCTCTCCTCGTGGACTGAAGCTGCTGTGACCCGAAAGCTCCCGAATCTTCAGTGACTAAATCCAGAAGAGCGGTCGGATGGAGCGGATCATGCAGATCTGTGTGTGTGTGTGTGTGTGTGTGTGAGAGGAACAGATGAGTTATCTTTGAACACCCTCTCTCTCTCTCTCTCTCTCTCTCTTATCTGTGGGACGTGGCCTTCCTGACATTGGCTCTGATTTAAATTTTAACACACACACACACACACTCACTCACACACACACACACACACACACACACACACACACAAGAGAATTTATTCTGCAATCTGCTTTATTAATGCAAGCTTCCATGATTTTAGTAGCGAGTATCATTTTATTCATATTTTGAATGTAGTGTATTGTCATTGTTGTATGCGAAGTGAGGCTGAGCAATAAATTATACCTAAACTACAGTATAACTAAACTAATATTTTAATATTTAATATTTTAATTTTAATTAAAGCTTTAGACATTTTGTTGTGTGCTTTTGTGATTATTATTATTATTATTTTGTTTGTTGTAAATACTTTTATTATTATTATTATTATTGTTGTTGTTGTTATTTTAAATATGTTAAACTCAATGAAAATGTGAAATGTTGCTTTGGCAACTAGCTGAAATAAAATAAGTTGAAGTTTTTTTTTAATATAATTTATTTCAGTTAAAGTTAATTTTATTTCAAGTAACAAACATGTTTTTATGGTTTTAGTTTTAGTCGACTATAATCCTGCCATGACTTTAATAAAACAATCACACATCAAAAGACTTATAAACTGTTTTAGGTTCATTTTAGGTTACAAACAAATTGCCTTTTTCTTAATCAGACTGTGTTTGTATCTCAATTACAATCATCTGCTACTGGTAGGAAACACCAAAGAGTGGAAAACCGTGTGTGTGTGGTGTGTGTGTGTGTGTGTGTGTGTGTGTGTGTGTGTGTGTGTCTCATATGGTTAACAACACACATCACATGACCAGAACAGATGCCCAATATGATGCCAGCATGAAGTTTTGAGGGTCTCTGAATGGAAATAACATTAAACCACCAGTAGAAAGACTCGGTTTTACACAATTCACTAAATCTGAACCACAATTGATCTCCCAGAATTAGTCAATTTTTTATATATTATAAAGTGCCTTTTGTGTCTTTCATTTAGTGTTTGTTTATTGTATGTGAAGTCAGATGATGAACAAACACGACAGACTGAATGTGAATCAGCAGAAGGTCTTCATTAGCAGTGTTTATTGTGTTGATATCTCTATCCGTGTGAATAAATCTGAAATCGTCTCATAAAGCAGCTTTGATCTGTGACATCTGAGAGGAACAGAGTAATCAAACCACAAACCAAACGCTCTGAAGTCACAAACCAGTAAAGATTTTCCATATAAACTGGAGTCACTCCGCGCTAACAGCGAGATATTGAAGATTTTACTGCCCGCGGAAATTCACAGATATTATAGATATTATAGATTGATAACTTGATTGAAAACTTGGGTGAAACACTGATTACTGTCATTTGATTTAGCTCTGAACTTCAGAGCATGGATCGCGAGTCATTTGATTCATATCGGGACTTCGGAAACTGTTCGCGATTCTGTTGATTCAGATCTGGACTTCAGACCGCGGATCGCGAGTCAATTGATTCAGATAGGGACTTCGGAAACCTGTTCACGATTATTTTAATTCAGATCGGTACTTTGGAGCCTGTTCGCGATTATGTTGATTCAGATTGGGCTTCGGAGCCTGTTTGCGATTCTGATAATTCAGATTGGGACTTCGGAGCCTGTTTGCGATTCTGTTCATTCAGATTGGAACTTCGGAGCCTGTTCGCGATTCTGTTAATTCAGATTGGAACTTCGGAGCCTGTTTGCGATTCTGTTAATTCCGATTGGAACTTCGGAGCCTGTTCGCGATTCTGTTAATTCAGATTGGAACTTCGGAGCCTGTTTGCGATTCTGTTGATTCAGATTGGAACTTCGGAGCCTGTTTGCGATTCTGTTCATTCAGATTGGGACTTCGGAGCCTGTTTGCAATTTGTTTGATTCAGATTGGAACTTCGGAGCCTGTTCGCGATTCTGTTAATTCAGATTGGAACTTTGGAGCCTATTTGTGATTTGTTTGATTCAGATTGGAACTTCGGAGCCTGTTCGCGATTCTGTTAATTCAGATTGGAACTTCGGAGCCTATTTGCAATTCTGTTGATTCAGATTGGGCTTCAGAGCCTGTTTGCGATTCTGTTAATTCAGATTGGGACTTCGGAGCCTGTTTCCGATTCTGTTAATTCAGATTGGAACTTCAGAGGCTGTTTGCAATTTGTTTGATTCAGATCGGAACTTCGGAGCCTGTTTGCGATTCTGTTGATTCAGATTGGGCTTCGGAGCCTGTTTGCGATTCTGTTAATTCAGGTTGGAACTTCGGAGCCTGTTCGCGATTTGTTTGATTCAGATCGGAACTTCGGAGCGCGGCGCGTGAGTCATTTGATTCACATCGGAACTTCGGAGTCTGTTCTCGATTCATTTCATTCAGATTGGGACTTCGGAGCCGGATCGCGATTCTTTTGATTCAGATCTGGACTTCGGAGCGCAAGTCATTTGATTCAGATCGGAACTTTGGAGAGCGTATAGCGAATCTTCTTTTCTGATTTCTATTTTTTATTAAACAGTACAAAACATCAAACAATTAATGCAGTTCAGTTATAAAAAGAAAACAAAGGAAAAATAAAGAAAGGATGCACAGATAAATCCTTCAAGAAAGTTCACCATGATTTTATTATAGCCTAGTAAAGGTGCCATGGTTTTTTGGCGAATTGCGAATTACCATTTGTATAACCACAGTTTTACTACAAATACCATGTTTAAACTATGGTTTTCACTGCTCTGGGATTAACAGAACTTTATTCAACTGTGAATAAAGAAAAGAGAGGTTTAGAGCCAAATTTCTATTTATGTATGTGAAATTTAGCTATGAGGAAACACAAATTAATTAAGTTATATTTTGCTATATTCTCTTTCAAGTAGTCAGACAAAGACTTTTGTCAAGTAGTCAGTCAAAGAAAACATCTTTAAAACTGCTGCTGTAATGTTGTTGGTTTTACATAGGCTTAATCAAAATAGTGATATTATTATCTGATGAATATGCTAACATAAAAAATCTCTCTTTATGAATTATAAGCACGTTGGCTACGGTAGCTATAAATACAGACTTTAGATGACATGAAACTGTAGTTTAAGGTGATTGGGACATAAGGTCAAATGGGACAGTATAACTATACAGAATTTATTTTCTCACCTAACGAGTGAAAATAAAAAATTTTGCTGAGCCCTAGCTGTAAGACCACATAATTAAAATGGGATGTCCTCATTGGTTTGACGTCATGTCGGTGGGCGGGGCAGACATCAAACAGGAAGTTGACAGTGACATGCATGAACTGAGGAAAATGACATAAGCTTTTGCTAGTCTTCATAATAAGGTCATAGCTATACAAACTTTTGATGGAAACATAAATATGATGCACTACTTCTACGAAATCAGTTGAAATATATCATGTTTCTATTTTCAGAATTAGGTTGTTTTTATTTTGTCCCATCCATCCAAACACAATTTGGGTGGATGGGACAGCATAATTTTGGGTGATTGGGACAGTGCTTAAAGGCTTAGCTAATTAAGAAAATGATTGACCTTGTAATAGGGAACCATTGTATGTGCACTGCATGCCTAAATCAGTGGTTTCCAACCTTTTTATTTGTGCAAGCCCTAATCAACCACAAAAATATTCACAAACTAGCTAGATTTTGCTAAAAAAAATTCTGAAAATAGATGCATTATTGATAAACTTTTTTTTTTTGTTTACTGATTTTGTTGCAGGTTTGTGCAGGTTAAATGTGTTTGTCAAACAGTTAATTGGTGATGGGGCCACCCAACATCATTTTTGAAGACCTAAAGCTTTTTTTTTTTTTTTTTTTACTTGTCTATTTGATTTTTAAATGTTTTCAAAGACTTTTGGACGTCAAGCCTTCTTTTACCTCAGTTACACGTGTTGTATTGTATGAATTGTGGATGGATTTATGAACTGAGCAATAAAGTTGAACAGAAATAAACATGGACTCTTAATGGTGATGATGAAAAGAAAAGGTAATATTGCATATGAAATTATACCAAAGTATGAACTAACTTGCGCAATACAGTAAATATTCTTACACTACCCTAAATCAATGAATAAAATGTGCTGTTCCAATCACCCCAAAACATTTTTTGGCTCAGTTTACAGAAAAGTGTACACATCCTTTCATTATAATGCAACATTGTTTCCTCCTCAAATCAGTACTTAACATCTTCAGTATTACAGAAATGTATCAAAATGTATCAAATTCAAAAGCTGTCCCAATCACCCTTAATACACCTACTATTAGTGGGCTTATATA